TTTTATTCAAAAAAAAAGAAATATAAATAGATGTTTGGTTACTTTGAAAAGTTTAAATTTTAAATTTTTATGTCGCGCGTAATCATGCTTAATCACGTGAGGGACGGTCATATTCCAAAAATTCCAAAAATTATATTGTTTATTATCGTCACAAAATTATACTAATGATTGGCAAACTTTTGCAGTTGTCTCACGGAGCACGAATTAAGGTTGTGGGCGAAACCTCCTTAGTAATTACTAAAGCCACGGCAAAACTATATTAAATCTTATCAAAAATCCTGTTGAAACTATGCCAAAACGGCAAAACCTCAAAATGCGAAACTCTGCCAAAACTCTAATAAACAATTAATGTGTAACCTGCAAAAGCCTTGCTGATTGATTTCTGGAGGAGTTTCGGCAAGCAACCTTAATAGTAATAGACAAATAAGATATTTTATTTATAAATTATAATATGGGCCATACTACAACAAAACCAGACAAAGTGAACATTTGTATTACCAAAGATTTAGTTATTATCATCACAATTAGTTTTATAATGTCCCATTTGTTAAGTGATATATAGAACTATCTCCATATAAAATAATAATATGAAACTAATTTATATCAGATCCACTATGGAACCCAAGAATTATATTACCATCAGAAGCATTTTAAAAAAGGAACAAGGTGAAAAAATTGCTCCTTACATTTTCAAAATAAATGATACTCAGGCAATTGAACTTATCTAAAAAAAGAAAAGATTACTTATGAAATTTACCAAGAAAGAAAAATAATAAATTTCAGAAAAAGAAAATTAAATGAAAGTGTACTATTACCTAACAAAAAAGCAAAATCATCAGAAGAAAAATAATTTAATAATTGTTACAATATTGATTTATCTATATACAAAGAAACCTCTTTGTGCAAATGCAATCAATGATCATCATGTTGCATTGCTTATCAGTAAAAAAAAAAGTTTGGATGAACTTTACATTTAAGAACATAAATCTTTGTTTTTTCTCATTGACATCGAAATGAGGTAAATAGTCCTGCTTTGCATCACCAGTTCACTTATTTTCAGGTCAGGTAAAAATTTTTTCAAATAACAACTCCTAGTAATCATCATTAAACACAATTTTATTTTTTGGTCCAAAAAACAATCAAATAATCAATAAATATTTACAATATTTTTTTTCATTCACAATAGCATTTAAAAAATGCTTAATTTCAACTGTGAACTTGTTTGTAGATCATTAATTGGACTCTTGTTTGGTTTCTTACTTCATTATAAAACTTGTTTTGTATTATAAATATACATGCAGCCCAAGGTGGTTACACATGTTGTAAAGGGGTGTTACACTTATGTTTTAAATAGTGAGTGCCATAATTAATTTCTACTTTCTATATACCATCAAAATTGGAATAATTTTGGCCATCAAAATCACCAAACAATTTGGGCTGCATGTATAATTATAAATCAAAAGATCAATCAAATAATTGATAAAGTTGAACCAAGAAAAAGCCAATTGAAAAATAAAATAAACAATCTTACTGATGATAAAAAAATATCACAAGAAATAGAAAATCTATAGAAGGATTTCAGACAATTATTTGACAAAAAAGACTGAACTAAATCCAAATTTTTCATTCAGTGAAATGATCATTGAAATTCGTGAATTGCTTGGAGAGGGAAAAGATATTGTTGCTTCCACAATAAAAAGCTTTTACCAACAGAAAACAAATCTTAAAAGGAAACAATAGAAATGGAAGTGGGTTGAGAAGGAGAATAAGAAAGTGGAGAGTGAAGATGAAAAAGATAATAAAAACAATGAAAATATAAATATTAGTAGAGATGTTAATTGGTCCTAAACAGTCCTGGAAAAGTACTTTTTTTTTTTGAACTTATTTAAAAAAACTTATTATTATAAAATTTTTAAGTTGGTTAATTATATGAAAAATCAATATTATGACAATTTTAAAACTACAGTCAACCTTCCATAAATGCACCCCCTTGGGAATGGACAAGAGTGTGCATTTATGGAAAGATGCATTTAGGGAGGGTAAGAATCTTATTGGCTACACGTGACATTCGGGATATTGTGTTAAAAAAAATTTTATTTATTATTATATTATAAAAATTGATCCATTGTAGTTTGTTTCATTGAATTTATTTTTTTAAATTAATATATCAATCAAGAGCATTAACTTGTTTTAATTGTTCTTTAGTATTTCCTTGTTATAGTAAAAAAGGCATAGACAATTTCCAAACTTTTGGAAGCTTCATCAACACTCATTATTACCAGTTCAATGCTATCATCATCTTCATTATTGTAATAATAATTAATGGTAGAAGATTTTTTATTTATTAAAACTTGTGTAAATGGATTTGTTTTTAAAACTCTTCATTCTTGTCTTGCCTTCTTATGTATAATAATTTCGCCTATAAAATTTTCACCATCTGCATTCTTATTCTGTCAATTAAAAAAGAAAGAATTAGTAAATTACTGGGGTTGGTCACAATGTTTGATCATCAAACATAGTTCAGGTCAATATAGAAAATTACTATGTGCGGATTTTTTAATGTTACACATATATATCATCAAAACATTATAGTAAAAATAATCAATGATTTATTTAAACTTTAAAACGTAAAGGCTTGATAACCAAGCAAGCTGTTGGAATAATCCTTCCGCGATTGTATTCGCAGATGCTCAATTAATAACCGGTCAGAGAGTTTTTTTCATTTTTATTAATAAAAAATTTTTTTGTAAGGTTCAAAGTTGTCATTTTACTATAAACAATGGAAATTTAGATATATTTCAAAATCTAAAGGTTCAGTAACCAAACTAGCTGTGGGAATAATCTTTCCGCGATTATATTTCCAAACACACAGTTAATAACCGATCAGAGAGTTTTTTTCATTTATATTAGTAAAAAAATTTTTTGTGAAGGTTCAAAGTTATCAATTTTGTTGATTTTACTATTAACGATGGAAATTTAGATAAACTTTAAAACATAAAGGCTCAATAACCAAACTAGCTGTGAGAATAACCCTTCCGCGATTTTGTTTAAAAATACTCAATTAATGACTGGTCAGAGAGTTTTTTTCATTTATATTAGTAAAAAAATTTTTTGTGATTCAAAGTTATCAAGTTTATTGATTTTACTATTACTATAAACAATGGAAATTTAGATAAACTTTAAAACCTAAAGGCTCAATAACCAAACAAGTTGTGTAAATAATATTTCGCAATTCTATTTTCAAACACTCAATTAATAGCCTATCAAGAGTTTTTTTCATTTATATTAGTAAAAAAAATTTTATAAAAGTTTAAAGTTGTCAATTTTATTGGGTTTTACTATAAAAAATGGGAATTTAAATGTAAAGGCTCGGTAATCAAGCAAGCTACGTGAATAATCTTTCCACAATTGTATTTAAAAACACTCAATTAATAGTCTATCAGTGAGTTTTTTTTATTTATATTATTAGTAGAGAATTTTTTTCTAAAGGTTCAAAGTTGTCAATTTTTACTGATTTTTACTATTTTGGAGGTGTTACAAAAATTTCAAAATAACATTTAAAAATCCGCATATATGAAAATTTATTATTGATGTTTATTATTTTTGATGATCAACCATTGTGACCAACCCCAGTAAATTACGCATATAGATGAAAAATAATTAATTAATGCAACACAATAAATTTTGTTTCTTGTTGCACGTTGATCATGTGAAAGTCACGGGTGTGCATTTAGAGAGGGTGGTTTTATATGAATGGGATTGGGAAAAGATCGTGCAGTGGATTTATGGAGGGATGCATTTATCTCTTAAGTCCTGAGGTTAGGAATGAGACATAGCATGCACTTATGGAGGTTGACTATATTTATTATTATTATCATCATCATCATCATCATCATCATCATTATTATTATTATTAATGATTGAATATTTAAATTATTACTTAGCAAGCAAATACACAATGAATCTCAATTTAGCAGATACTAATTAAAAATCTCAGTTTTACAGATAAAGTTCAAAGAATGGTTCCATAATAACCCTTAATAAAAATCTTCTTGATACAGCAGATATCTTGATTTAGCAGATTTTTGGAAAATTTCCCCTAATTATAATTGCCCAAACTATCTGTTAAATCAAGATTCACAGTGTATGATGCAAGCCACTTAGTCCCATGACTTTTTATTGGTTGTGTATATTTTCAAATTCTCCAAAAATGGAAATGCAACACCCCAAAATAAATCGTGTATTTGAAGCCAAGACCCTCCTCTACAAAATCATGATTTAATCTCATTGAAATGTAGGGGTTGGTTAAGATATTTTTTTAACCGGTTAATTTTTTATTAACCAGTTAAATTAACCGGTTAACCACTATTTATTAATTTTTTTTTATATATTACAGTCAAACCTCATCACAGCAGACTTCACCACAACACATTTCTTGTTACAACAGATTTAAGTATTGTCCCCTTATTAATATTTGTCATAATAACAACGGATTCTACTACTAATACAGTGCAGAAGACCTATATGGGAACTTAGAAAAATTGAAATATCATGTGATCCACACATCAGATTTTTAAAAAGAATCGATTTATGGAATAAAAAATTTTTCTCAATTTTCAATTTGTAGATCTTTCTTAATTTAGTAATTTTTATTTACAACAATTTATTTAAATTACATTGTTAATTTCATCATAAAACATATCAGGAACTCGTCTATGGGATTTATATTTTTTAATTTGCAAATTCAGCTACTTTTCCTGTTAGACCTTTTCTGTAAATGTCCATATAACGCCATGATTTTTGTGCATATCTACGTAAAGTAATTAAAGGAACTGAATCTAATGCTTCTGGAACTGTTTTTTGCAGACCAGTCCAGGTATAATTACAATTATTACGAGTGTAAAACTTTGCAGCACCCCAATACATCTCTATCCAATTAAGTTCACAGTGATACTTTGGGAAAAAAATGCATTTATGTCCATGTTGCTCAATAGCCTCTTGTAACCTTGATTTTTGAGCAACAAAATCATCTTGCAAAGAAAGAATTCGGCGCATACAACAATCTGTTCTGGTATTATCAATAACTTTAGATTTACCTTTACACTGTTTGCAATCACCAGGAAGTCCTTCTTTCCATAAACCTCTCTCAATCAGAATTTGTTTCATTCCTTTTGGTAAATTTGGGTGCTCTGTATGATTACTTGGAAACACCATTGATTGAAATGTTTTATTGGGTCCAAAGTAGGTATTTCTCATTATTGCTTGTTTCCCTCCAGGTTTAACATTCATATTAATAGCATTCAATCCATCTGGTGGCATTGCACCATGATTGGTGCTGTTATCAAAAGCAAATACACCAATTGCATTAGGATGTAATGCATTAAAAATTGGTATTGCATAGTCAACAACTTGTTCTAAAAGATGATCTGCAGTCCACCAACCTTCTTCATTTTTCCCTGGTCTTAAATATTTTCTGGCTTCTTTTGGTAAGTCTGGAAATTGTAAAATTTGACTTTCTGATAATTTAAGCCTACCAACTGTTTCTGTGAGAAATTCACTCACCATTATTGATTTACCTTGGCCTTTCCTTCGTAATGGTTGTTCTCCAAGAGGTGCCCATACTATTGGTCGATCATCATTTGCATAAAACAAACATTCATCATGAACTACAAATAAATGTAATTTTTCATTCTCTAATAAAATAGGATTCTTTTGTTCCATATTCTCACCCTCAAAGATTGGCATATATTTTTCATAAAATTGCATTTCCTCAAGGAACTTTTTCCTATATTCTATGACATCTTCACGTTCATGTCCATCATAATAAATGCCTTTTTTATGTGATTGAGGCTTTAAACCTAATTTATGTAACCAAATGCGAGCTGTTTGATAAGATATTGATTGTGTAGTCTCTATACTTGGAAATAATACCTTGTTAACAAAATCTTTGTATTTACAAGGTGTTACTTTATTGCCATTTGTTCTGACAAAATTTAATGATTGTTCAATCACATCTTCATCATCAATGAAAGACTTTGTTTTCTGATGGCAACCTTGTAATGATTTTGGCAGTGTACCATGGTTTAACCAATATGATGAACATTTTCTTATAACTCTAGATTTATATACTCCTTTTTCATAAATGTCACTGGCTGCTTTCATACTAGCATCAATGGAAGTCATGCCATAATTCTTCTTATAATTGAAATATATATATATAGCTCTATAACATAAATATTCATATGCAGAAATTTTTTTTAAATTACCTGACAAAATACGATTCAAATCCTGTAACTTTTCATCAAAATTAATATGATTCTCCATTTGGTCATCATTATCATCACTATCATCAACATCAGCATCAACATCAACATCAACATCAGCATCAACATCAGCATCAACATCAACATCAACATCAACATCAACATCAACATCAACATTATCATCAACAGTATCAACATTAGCAATATTATCAACATTACCATCAACATCAACATCAACATCATCATCAACAGTATCAACATTAGCAATATTATCAACATTATCATCAACATTATCAACATTATCATTACCATCATCATCAAAGACATCATCATTATTGTCATCAACACTTACCTTTTTAA